CTTCTCGGCGGCAACGGAGTCGGGACGGAGGGACTCGTTACCACCGTCCGGGGGTGCCCCCTGCTGCCCCGTCACTGCTTTGGGCCGCCAGAGCCCGGGGAAGATCCTGGTCCAGTGGTGTCTCCGGGAATGGAGTGGAAAGGGCAGCCAGGAGCTGCTGGAAGGGAAAGGGAGGAGCCGGACCAGAATATTATCCTCAGCTTTAGGAGTGGCTCTGTGTACCTGGCACTGCAGGAGCTTCTATCCAACAGGTCTCTAATCCCATCCGAGAGGGGAACAGGAAGAGTGTCAGAGCACCCTGCTTGCTAGAATGACATAAGGGGCAAAGGCAAGACCAGAATAACCCTCAGCTTAAAGCAGTGCTAAGTACCAGGCTCAGGCCTGGCAGAAGGAATCCTGGTCCGTGCTGAAGAACCAGCTCCTGGATCCCACCAGCCTGGGGCTGCTGCAGGAGAGTCTTGGGTTCAGCCTGGAAACACAGAGCATTGGGGCAGCATCAGCACAAAGAGGTGGCGCTGGCCGGGCCCAGGGCGCTTCGAGGGCCAGGACACACTCGCTAAAAGAGCAGACTCATCCACAGGCTATAAACACCCTAAATCACTAACACCCATTTGAAGCCATCACACCAGTAAGGAAAACTGTTAAAAAACACACCTTGCCACCACCCCTGGAGAGCAAGTCACCCTTGGAGGGCCACCAGGGCATCGTGACCAACAGCAACACCTCACAGATGAGGCAGTATAACACATCGAGCAGTAACGCCTGTTTATTTTTTTCCTTTTTTCTTCAGTATGTAAGGTTACAGCATTGCTAAGAGCTTTTTAATTACCCCACACTTCCTAATTATAAAGTTAATATCCAAATGTGCATTTTCTTTTCTTAAACAGTGAATTGAGCAGCTTTAAGAGTTAATTAAAATGCAGGGCTGAATTCCACAAGGCGCAACTGCTCCTTCAGAGGGATATGCAGGAAAAATAATTATGCTGCATCAGCCAAAAAGGAACCAGGCTCCTTATCCCAGCAGCAGAGAACAGAGCAGTCCCTCGATTCCCTGTTTAGATCATTGAGCGTTCTGTTGCTTTTGGGCTCCCTATCGATTAGTTATCACACAATAACTGTCACAGCTCTGCTTTGCATTTCCATTTCATAGATAACTGCTGCAGGACAAAGAATTTTAGTATTTCTTGATGTGGGGGGAAGGAAGAGAAAGAAGTGACTTCTAAAATGTGACATAAGAGAGACAAGTTCTCCCGGCACCCCTAGTTTTAATTCTCAAATGAATGATTCCTCTCTTGGGGCAAAGGAATGCGGAGAGCTATGAGCTCAGCACTATTGACAATTTAACACAAAATAAATCTTCTGCTAAATCACTGAAAACAGGACTTTGTCCAGGGAAAATATCACCCCAGCACCTTCTGCTAAACAGCCCCAAACCATTTCCTACAGGTTCTTACATGTGATCTCAATGACTTCATGGCTGAAATATTTTATGCAGAGTCTGGCAGGAAAACATTCACAGGCGTTTCCCATAGCAGACTGTCCTTCGTTCTTCTAAGTGTAGTAAAAATAAAAGTGCCTTGAAACAAATTCTACCATCTAATTTACTTTACAGATAAATAGCAAACAAACAAGTAACAGCTCATGACTACATGTAATTTCCTCAAAAGAGGACAAAATATCGTGTGTTATTTTCCAGGGTTAAGTTTCTAAACTGTAACTGGATACAGTTGTAGAGTGTTATTACCTACCACTATGCTCCCAAGAAACATGCACAGAGGTCACTTTTAAGTGTTACACACAAACTTCTTAATACAAAAAAAGAATAATCCTTGTGTAGTGCCGAGATGTTCATTTCTCCATAGAAAAGGCCCTCTTCATCAGTGGTGGGGGCGCTTTCCCCACATCAAACATCATTTCCAGGGGGGGATTATTGAGGCAGCACCAGTCAGGGATGCGGCCGGTCTGGCTGTAATACTCCTTGGACACAGAACGGCTGCCAAGGATGTCCTGAAGCGCTCCGAAAATGGCTCCTGTGTTATTCAAACAAATAATTCTGCATTAATTTGTTGTTTTGGGTTTTTTTAAACTCTAATTCTTCACATCAAGAATGTTGATTATTCTTTTTCAGCTCTATCCCCCCAGATTATAGCACTGAACGGCTTACGCGCTCGATCTTCCCACTTTCCTTTATCCACAGCACAGCTAACACCAAATTGTTTCAGCTAGTCTCTGCTGAAAAAGAACCTGGCCAAGGAGACCTGCTTTTTACAAAAAGCCTGTCTTAGAAATTTGGGTTTAAGCCCTTCAAACAAGTGTTTGTGATTAAGGAGAGTTTCCTCTCCCCAAAAAGGGAGTCATTCAGTGCCTGTAAGAAGTGGTTTATACAAGGCTGTGGGAAGAGCCAGAAGACAGCAGCTAACTAACACTGATAATAATAATAAATAAATAAATAAAAAATCAGGGACCGTGGTGCACCAAAACCATCCTTGTTTGCTACTCCTAGAACTAGACTCACAGGGTTTTAAAACTTAAATTTGATAAATATTTATGTTTCAAAACATATGGAAATAAAATCTATTTTTACCGTTCACCTTAACTCCTCCTACGCACCAGACGGGCTCGGCTGTTAACTGAATGATTACGAAAGCAAGAATTTTTGCCAACCTCAGAATCCCTTGGAAAGGGCTGCAAGCAAAGCCAAGCCCCTCTTGGCCAAACGCGTTTCCCTGACACAGCAGTACATCCCAGATCCATCATGGAGCAGCAGCACAGACACTTGGGAGCAGCCCTTGGAGTGAACAGCCTCTATGAAGGTCCACAGCTAGCAGCTTCTCAGTGAGTAATTGAACAGATAATTCAAGCCTGCAGCAAGTCTCTGCTGCTGCTAATTATTTTAGTGGTGCCACCAAATGGCAGTACCTGTGTAATACACTTGCATCAACAACTCGCCTCAAACTCTGCTCCTGCCAATTGCTCCTCGCCTGTCTAATGACCTGAAGGGTTGTAGTGCCATTTCCCCCTCCAGATGTCCCTGAGGGGGGTTTATTCTGGAATATTCACCCGAACTGTACTGCTGTGCATAGCAGGAAGGTTTCCTTTCCCCTCTGCACCTTGGCTTAGCAGTCGTTCCTATTCTTACCTCCCAGCCATGCCACGCAGTTGGGTTTGGCAGGCGGAGTGTGAATCCTGAAGGTTTTAGTGGCAAGAGCCTCTTTGTATTTTGGTTTCTCTACCAGGTATCTGATTTCTGCCATTAGTCTGTGGAGGAATCCTGGCAACATCGCAGTGCCACCAATAACCACCAAATTCTCCGCCAGCTGCTTCCTGGTGTCTATGGGGCACTAAAGCAAAGGGAATAAACAAAATCCTTTTATTGGTGTTGCAGGTACAAACATGCAAAGGTCTGTCAGAAATTCAGTTGGCCTTCCTATGCAGTTACATTGTTTTCTCATGCATCACAGAAACATATAAACTACACCAATTTCTGCTCATATTTCTCAATAAAACTAAGTTTAAATGAGTCTGTGAGCCCCTGTAAACATTTTAGCTGAGACCAGTCAAGAGAGGACAGGGATGTCAGGGACAATTTCCATGAATTCTGGCAGAACGACTGATAGAAGAAAGTCCATCAGTCAGAAGTCAATCAGAAGTCCATCAGAAAGGGCAGAAACTCGAGCAGTGCTCTCACAGAGCAAAGAAAAGGTGCAACTTATGAGCTTGACTCTTTTTAGCTCCAAGTAATCAACATGGGAGAGAGATGTTACAGAAGTCTCAATGGCAGAAAGAAATTTTTTCAACTGGAGTTTGCATTAGGCAGCAAAGACTCTAACTATGAAGGCAGGAGAAAACCAAGTTTGCCAGTTCTGTCCTTCACAAACAGATCCGTATTTTCCCTTAAAAAAAATAAATTAAATAATATAATCCAGACTGCTGAGGTCTCTCTTGTCCAGCAGATCTGGACATTATCCAATGTCTGTCTGTTCTGGCCGAAGGAGGAGTGATGCAGGTGAAGACCCAAGGGACAGAAGTGAGAAACTTGTTAAACCATTTGTTTTCATGAGGACTTCTAATTGAAATGCCCATCATGACATTCAAGTAGATGGCCCTCAAGCAAATTATATCTCTGCAAACTAAATTAAAGAGCATTAGTAACTGCAGGAAATCATAATGAAAATTTCCTTCAGAGTGGTTTTATAATCCATTTTTCTCTCACTACATGAAATGCTTACAAAATGAAATGTTTGTATACGCCAAAAAAAAAAATCCAAGATGTATCTAAAATATTGCCTGATAATAGAGATGTCCAGAGTAGACTGATATCATATCTCTGGTAAACAAGCATCCTACAGGACACATTCTAACAGTTTAATTCTAGGTGAAACACCTTGTGGAAAAAAAAAAAAAAAGAATTACAACAATCACTCAAGCTTAAGCATTGTAATTTCTATAACGATACGAAGTATTAGCTACTCTTTGATAATTACATATGCACAGATTCTTGCCCCAACATAAATGTTAGCTTCTCACTTTTGCTGCATGTTGAGTGCTGCACTGCTTTACAGGTAACTGTCCTAGATGCATTGCAGCACATTAAAGAACAAGAAAACAGTCACAGATGTTTCCCAGAGTGGATGACACATTGTGCCTTGCTACCCAATACCTCCAATCACGGAGCAGAAGTTAGGAATCGAGGTGTGCTATGATTTTTAAACCATCTGTAACCTGCACTTACAGAGCTGTTCCTCTACAAAAAGCACTTTATAGGAGCAGGCTTTGTAGTGCTCGAGGCATTCAGGCAGTTGTTTATATTATAAAGATACCTGGATGAGTGAATCTAGGATTAAAGTGGCAACAGATTTCTCTTCATTATCCTGTTCAAAGAGTATTTCAACAACGGAGTCTCTGTTGAAAAGACAGAAAATGAGTGTTATACTGTAGCACTGCTTCTCAAGGAGTTAACAGCAAGGCTGGGAACAACTGCAAACTCCCTGCTGCTAGCACATCACAACCCTAGTGACTCTGCTAAGCCTGTCTCATCGTGCCTCAACATGTCATGTAACTCCCCATCTTCCCCCTTCCTTTCAATCTGTTGACTCTCACCGCAGGCTTGCGCTGTGCCCAACACAAAAGTTTAACTTAGGAAATGTAAACATCTGCATCAAATGCAAACATTTCATTAAAATTCATTTTTAGAAAAACTTATGGCTCTTCTATCCTGTTGTTATCTATGCTGTTAAGAGGTGGAAATATATTTTCCTAAAAGAAAAATGCTTGATTACTGTACTCCTAACCTGATAGAGCCAACTACATGCAGAATCTTTTCTCCATCTAATGGATAGTCCACATCTGGAGGCGGAGAGGGACGCTACAAACAAACACATACACATGTTATTTTAAAAGCATAGAAGACTACACGTGTTTCAAAACATTAAGCTGAACACTCTACCCACCTCAGCACTGCCATCAATGTTGTTCAAAACATTAAGCTGAACACTGTTCTCCACCCACCTCAGCACTGCCATCAATGTTGAACTTTGCTGCTTGGATTTTCAGTCCACGCTGGAGATCGCTCACAAAACAAGTGCGGACTTTATAAAAGAAAAGGAAGGGGCAGCAGAGAGACTTTGATTGAATCGTTTCATCACCATCAGTACAGGCAATAATTTCATCTTAGAGATCAACACATATAACACCAAAAATATGCTAGGACAGGAAAGGTATCTATCTCAAACAAACTACACAGGATACAAAGTCAGAGCGACACTGTCAATCCTATTCTGCAGTTACCACGAGGTGGCAGGGGTTCCACCCTGCTGTAACATAAACCCTGTCTTGCACCAGGGCTTCAAATGAGGCACTGCTCATTTTTAAGACAACCTATAATCATGTAACATTTTTCAAACTGTGAGTCTTCAGTCTTAGAACTCCAGAGGGGGCTTTTCTCCACACTACACAGAGAGCACAATTTCATTTGTACCCAAGCTATGAAATGTATTTATGCCAGATACAGATAAAAAAACAGATAATGAGCATCTTCTTCATAAATTACTGTCACAAAGAAACAACCCCTCAGGACATGGGCAGTCATAGTTTCAAACAGCAGTGGATCATATCTGGTTACAAAAGACTGCGTAAAACCCAGAACCAACTGGAAAACTGTGTCTGAGTCCAGAAACTAAAAAAAGCAACTTGCATTTGACAAAGAAAAAAAAAGCAAAATTCAAATTATTTTGCACTTGATTGAGGGGTTTCTTCATCCAGCACAAGAGATACACGCTATATTGTATCCTATGATTATTTATTTTAGTTCTACTGCACATGAAACATCACACAGGAATTTTAAGTTCTTCATGAAGCTACATCCGATTTTTTTTCCTAGTGTAGATGCAGTCCTTGACTCATATTATCTATCTGATGAACACATGAAATTTATTTTATGCACACTTGAAATTTCTTTTGTCATGATGCAAGATTGCTTTAATTTAATACCAGTTTTCAGAAAACAGATCTTCTAAGTCCCATGCAGAGCACATACTGTACACATTTATAAACAGAAAAAGATACCATTAGTTTAAAAAACGCAATGCAAAGTTAACCTAGCCTGACAATCAAAATTCAATATTTTAACATTAATATTGTAACATTAATATTTTAATATTCACATTTAATACTGTAGAAACACAACAGTGTAATGCTCTTACTGCATTAATCTACAGAATGCATCTATGAGCTGTACCTTGACATACTAAAGCTAAACCTGGAAGTAATTCAGCATGGTTTTGTGTTTGCTTTTGAAGAACACTGCAAATTCTTCTGGTAAGAAATATGATAAACAGAAGAAAAAAAAAATCCTAAAAGTGAAGTATTGTACACTTGCTATTCTAGAGCAAAGTATGAAATTTCCAAGTAGAAAATTTTACCTTTTATATCCTCAACTATGTCTTCTGGAACTGAGCCTGTAATAAAAAAAATAACTTAGAACAAAAACATCTCAAGTAGTAAGAAAATTCAAGAACCAAACTACATTCCATTCCAAAATATTAACCTTCCATTTTAACAGCAATTTTTAAAGTTCCCTAAGAAAGAGGAATATTGAAAAGAGAAAGAAAGACTTCGTCTTCTCTACACACAGATTTAGAACAGATTAGAACTGCTATGTGTGGCTTGTTATTAAAATAATAAAATAAATTGAATATAAAGGAAACATGCAAGAAGGACTGTGTAAGATGTGTTGAAAATACAGAATTAATTGTATTCACCCTAGAATTAACCCACTCTCCCCAGTGCAACTTCTGAGCCCTTGTGCAACATGAAGACCTTACCCATCACAGATGGAAGGCTCTGTCCTTTGGCTAATCCCGTATCAACTGTGCATTGCTCCAACAGCTGATATTCCAGCTCCCTAAAATATTGCAAATTTAAAATTTAAAGACAGCTAGTAGCTCATGACCATTCTCCATATTTCCACTATACTGATGGGATAGTACTTATTCCCCTCAGCTAAATTATTTTAAAAACAGAATGAAGTAGATTTGATTGCCACAGCTTTTACTACATCAGCAAATGCCAAACTGCGCTCATTTAAACAACGTTACCCTACCACAGCAACAGTCATGATTTAAGGCATGTTCAATAGGCATCTTTGGTCAACAGTCAAATGTGAATTTTGACAACACAACCAATCTCAGATGTGAAACTGAACTTACTTGTGGATAGCCTTTCCTCCCAAAGGAAGAGCTCCCCAGCAGCTCAGAATTGGGATTCCCTCATATATCTTCATGAAGCTCAGGAAATCAACCTTTGTTTTTTTAATATGATTTTCAATCCAAAGTAATTGGAACAAAAATTCTTTTTCTCCTCAACTTTTTCTCGATTAGGTATACCTACTTTCCTCCAAAACTAATTTACAGTATATAGAGGGTTATGAACCATTTCAGAGTCCCATAGCACCTTTCTGAAGTTTTAAGGGAACACAACCCTAGAAGTTCGACACAGAGAGATTCCCCAAATCATGACACATTATAGCTAAAATTTGGATTGGGTGGTTTGTTCTATTGCTTTTATATGGCATATGTCAATAAAATAGTAGCTTGTCACAAAAGCCTTAGCATGAACATTTTTGGTACTGTATTATTGAAGGATACAGGCAGCGCCAAGCTCTCTGCATATCCGCAGTCCAACACCATGGCAGAATTGATCCCAAGCGTCAGGAGAGACATCAGATGACTTGGGGCAAACAAAACAGAAGGTACCTACATGGAAACCAATATGACACACAGCCCACCCCAAAATTAGCAATATTTCCCCCAAAATGTCATATTAAAAACAAAATCTGAACAATTATATTGAAGTATCTATTTTCAATTCAGGATTTAAAGTAGTGTAGTGACGATCAAAATAACACAAGGTACTAAAAACAATTCTCACCTTATTCATGGTACATACCAGGTGCTTCAGCAATTATGAACCTTAAAATAGGTTTCTAAGAAAAGCAAATATTTGCTATAGAATCCACCTTAAGTCCAACTCATTTGAAGAGAAATTAAAGAAACTAAAATACGGCTCTTTGAAACATGCTGTAAAGATTCCAAGATGAATAAAGGTGACATAAAACCCCACAAAAGCATGCCCTCTAAGGACACACAGCACCTCAGGAAAGAGTAAGACTGGTTATTTAAAACATTTACCCAAAGCACTGCCAAAACTCAAACCATAATTGTGTGCAAAATACCACATGTTCCCAAAATTTCCTAAGTCATCTTTTCTAGATAGTGACAGTTTCTTTACTGAATATCATACCTTGACGAGTGAATTAAATGAGCAACTTCATTAAAGCCTGCATGTAGGGGCAACCTCACTGATACTTTTCTCAGAGAGAAATATATTGGCTTGTTTTAAAATGCCACTTTTAGCACCAAGGGGAAATCTCAGCAGGTGAAAGTGAGCTTCACTTCAGCATCAACTGACTTGTTAACAATGTACAAAACGTCACCACCAAAACATGACTCTCCAAGTCACGAGTCACTTTAGACAACTGATTTTGCATGAGAGTGCTTTAATTGTGACCTTTCGTTTCTTTTCTGGAAGGGGATAATAATTAAAAAAAAAAATCAAATCTTTCAGTGGCTTCAAGGTATCGGAACATATTATATACAGAAGGAAACAGCTGTGCAGGTTTTAAATCGAGCTCTGAAAATGTAGTGAAGTACTGCAGACAAACTAGTTTCACCCCTTTTTATAAAACCTTAACCTATGCTCTACCTGAATCACCTCCCAAATATTAGGACTATTAGTAGAATAAAGCAAAAGATTAGCTTCAGATTTTTCCTCAATCTATCAAAAAGGCTGATTAAATATCTTCTTTCTTCATCTCTTAGCCTTCTAATGCTTTTTTTTCCCACTTTTTTTATCCACATCTAGTAGTGATTTTAAGTAAATTTTCTATCGTCAAGTACAATGCCTAGCACATATAGTAGTCAGGTGAAATGTGTACCTCAAAATGCTTGAAAAGGACTCTCGTGAGCGTGTCTCTGAAGTGGGAAGGGCATAACACAGACTCTATGATCACAACACGACGGTCTCTTGGATTCACCAGGAGATGTCTAAAAAAGACAGGATGTACAAAACAAAATTTGTAAATTTACACATGTATTATGGAACCTACATAACTTTAATACTTTGTTCCCCTCAAAAATCTTAGTAAATTGCATTTAGAGGACATTTTCCAAAGCAAATTTCAAAGATTTTTTTTTCCCCCCATGTAAATTTGGCAACATTTTCCAAAAGAAAATTAAGGGACCAAGCTGCAGTCATCCCCCCATCACCTGAAGAACTCAGGGACAGAAATCAAGTATTTTTTATCTGTCAAACACTGATTTTTATTGTGAAAAAATAAAGATCAGGAGAAAAGAGAACGATCATCAAATTCACCTTCATAGTCATTATACACTAGCGGTATTAAAAAATAAAAGACGTACTACAGAAGTAAAAATGAACAGATTTCTACAGACTAAGGTCCCTCCTTCCAAACCATGGTCATATGTAAATCATTCTTTTCCACTGGTAAAAGATGAGGTTTGCATAGGCTGCATATGCAGTCCTACCACAAATCAGTCCAACTCCTTAGGTAATGATTTTCCCCACCAAGCGCGTTGTGTGCGCCACACTTTTTAAAAGAAAACTTCATGAGACACATTTTTAATTTCTAGAGATCAACCAATGCTGCAGGGGACTAATTTTTTATATATATTTTGAATCTCAGTAGGACTGAGTTTCCTCAGCAAGATCACAGCTAGGCAGCTGCCTGCAAAATCTTCCCTCTTTTTTTTTTATTATTCTTGTAGTGAACAGTACCAGTAACACTGGTAATTACCCTCCACATCCTCACAAAAGAGCTGCTGAAGGCTTAAGTAACGCCCAAGTATCTCTTACCTGAAATACAGCATATGAATAAATTCCTTCAGATAGGAATATAATTCTTCTGTGTTAATATTATATTGTACAACTTTGATAGGCTGTAAACAAAACATATCCACAGTCAGTTTAAACATTAGCAATTATATATGAAAAAAATGCTTATTTCAGTCTGATTTCCTCTATGTAATTAATAATGCAGCTCTTAATCTCACTGTATAACTGAACTCCATTTATTCATGACATTTTTTCATAATAGTAACCTATCTCAACATTACATTTCCAAGGCTGTCACCCTCTCTTTAAAGAGCAAAAACAAGCTGCCCCAAAAACAAGCTACACATATGATCCACACAATGCCAATTAATAACAATAGTGGCATAATCCTTACTTGTATCTAGTTATAACCTTTTAGTAGAAGGAGCCACGAGATAATGAAAAATAGCTGATGACAGAGGAAAAAAGTATTTCTGAAAATTCCTGCTATACCCTAACATGTCACACATTGTAAGGTAAAATAGCTTTGTAAAACAATGTTAAGTTTTACCTTCAGGACATCAGATTTCTTTATTTCACTAGGAATAATACATCTTGGTCCTGTTTCTCCTGCAAAACCACACCTAAAAGAAAAAGTTAAAAACTTTATCATTCCAAGTTAATATTTAATATACTCAGCTGATGATTCATCAAACAGTAATTGTGAAGAAGTGTTTGGCACATGACTTTTCCACACAGCCATCTCAAATAAGAAAGATTTTACATTTATTTATTGACTCATTCTCAGATACATAAAATAGTTTTTTTTTCTCTTTAATAAGGACTGTAATGCCCAACTCTGCTGTGCCTCCTACTTTTCACTGAGTAACAAATTTTCTATCTCTATTAACATGTTTATAAACTTTCATTACAGCCTGTTAACTTTCTGGAAAAATATTTTCCTGCTTTCTCCATACTGGCCCACAGATTTCAGAATAGTTCTCAGTAAACCGAGACAGGATTAAGCCATGATGCCCCTTTTAAATCCTCAATTTCTGTGATGTTTATTTGGAAGAAACAAAGCACAAAACATTGCTTACCATCCCATTCTACTCCTGCTGCCTATTTTACTGTTGATCAATTTCGTTTCATTGACTTTTTTCATTTCTGTTATCTACTCCCACCTGACAGCTTATATTACACTTTGAAAGGAATTCCTTTTTACAAGCATCTGGGGCAATATTCCTGCTTCAAAATCACTGAGAATTCCTCTTCCTGAAGCTTATCCTCATCCCAACAAAGCAGGAGGGCTCTGCACCCAACTCGAATTCCATGTAATACAAATAATAACTCCAAAATTAAGTTTTCAGAAATCTACCTAGCTTTCCACAGACGGACTATACCTTGAAGGCCTCAAGCACCAAGGATTGAAAGAAGCCAAATAAAAACAGAAAAAAAAAATAATAATAAGTGGTGCCCACCCATCACCCTAACACCGTAAGCTCCATTTCATTTCAGTCATATTTGGATACAATTAATTTGTTATTTTTCCGCATCGATTCCAAGTGACCTGCCAAAACAAGGCAGAAATCATTAAAGACTTTTTTTTTTTTTTTGCCTCTCCCTATAAGATGTGGCTGGAAGAAAAAGACTAATGTCCGTATTGCGGCTTTATGAAAGAAAAGTGGGCGGCTGCAAAAAGAAAGTTTTTGTTTTCCCTGCCAGAACGACCGCCCGCGCAGCAGGCCCGGCCCGCAGTCGCGACGCGGCCGCCGCGGCCAGGCCCTGTCGCGACAGCGGCGGATGTCGAGGCGACAGAGGGGGCCACTCACTTGGTGAAGGCCTCGCCCAGGTCGATGACCACGGCCGTCTTCTCGCCGCCGCTGCCCAGGCCCTCGTACAGCGGCATCGCGGCCCG